CTGCTGCTGGTGTGAGGGATATACTGAGGAGATGAGAAAGCAACGAAGAGCAAGAGAAGGCGAGGGCCTCCTCTAGCCAGGTTAGAGTGCACCGAGCAAGTTGCTGCTGATACCATCCAGGCAGCTCTTTATGTTGTGCTGCAGCAGCTGCTGTTGCAGCTGTTGCTTCTGCTGCTACTGCTGCTGCTGCTGCATCTGTGCGCTCTACTGCTGCTGCTGCTGCGGGCTCGTGTTCTAGCAGGCTGTCTGCCTTCAGATGAAGACACTGGAAGGCGCGGAGGTGCATAGACACCAGAACGCAGCACTCTGCGATTGCCTCCTTGGCAGCAGCATCTCCAGCAGCAAACAAAGAACCCTGCTGCACTTCTTCTACCGAGTTTAGCAGGGGGAAGGGCCTGCTGCTACCGCTATCGCTGCTGCTACCGCTGCTGCTGCTGCTGCTGCTGCTGCTGTTGCTGCTGCTGTTGCTGGAGAGAGAGTGGTGGAGACAAGAAGGAGGGGCGGAGAGAATTGCAGCCTCCTTCTGCTCTTCTGAAAGGCCGCGGACGGGAGCAGCAAGGAGGTGCAGCAAGAAGAGCTCGAGCGGGCGCAGCCGCTGCAGCAGCTCTTCTGCTGCTTCTGCTGCTAGCTGCTGCTGCATGTACCATTGGAAGGTGCCGTTGCTGCCAGGGAATGTCAGCGCATGAGTGAGAAAGTAGACGACGACGAGGAGGAGGCCCCCGCATATTGCTGCACTGAGTATGAGAGACCCAACGAGCGACCAAACGATGGAGACAAGGGCAGCCAAACAAAGCAGAAGAACAACAGAAAGAATCAAACTCAAACACAAACGGCGGTACCAGCGGCCCTGTGTTACCTGAAACCACGACAAGGAGACGCGAGGCGCACACGGGGAGAGCGGGGCGCCCCTCATGCCGCCAGCAGACAGTCCACCGAGGCGGAGAGGAAGCAGCGAGGCGGCCTCCGACTTCTGTTCAGACTGAGGGGCTGAACACCCTCAGGCGCGCTTAGGCAGAGGAGATGCTGTACAGACATATCTCATGAACTCTGCCTGCAGGGGAGGCCAGCAACGACGGGTCTTGGGGGCCCCGCGGTGTCTGTACCCCGAGACTTCGAGAGAGCCGGCAGAAGATTCGGAAACTCATGCGTAAATCATCAAAGAGACAAAGGAACAGCAAGACAAACAGCTACTGAAGGGCTGCTGGGGTCTGCAGCGGAGGCAACGAGCGAGCAGGCAGACGCGCACAGGAAGCAGCGATCGTCTGCCCCTCCTCTTAATTCCCGTTCATATAAGGCGTATCAATTCAAGTAAAATGGTAAATTCAATATGCAAAGCACCACACAGAGGTAATACCCACCTGCATGCATTATACGCGCAGAGTGTCGTCTGCCGCTGTGGTGAGGGCCCCATCTGCAGCGGGTGAAGGAAGCAAGGGAAGGAAGGGCTCTTGAGCCCTTGTTAGGTAGAATATATGAAGATAATATTCATGAAAAATGAATTCAAATATAAAATGCCTGGTATTTATATAAACAGAATTTAACGAGGTGTTCTGGTGTTTTATCGGCTGACGCTGACGGTCGGCAGCGCCTCGCGGTGGTCTCATACATAGCCTGTTACTGTCGGGCCGCAGCAGCGAAAGCTGCAAAGGGAAGCGCAGCAAGAGTTATCTTCTTGAGTGAATCCTTCTGAATTAAACAAATAGAAACGCATATGTGTAGTTTTTGAACTTGTCTAGCTTTCGTTTTCTTTCTCTTTTTCGCTCCTGAGATCCGTAAGCTCGTCTCGGCGAGCCTCAGCCATCCACACCGCCGGCTCGAGTCTGTTGGTCAGCAGCTTCGATTCAGTGAGCATTTTGCATTCCTTCTGAAATAAAAATAGACAACTTTGACGATTTCAAAACAATTAAGTACAGAGATATCGCACAGCAACGCCAGACAAACTGCGGCGATGATGCCTCGCGGCGCAACCTGAACGAGAACTCGTCGGCGGCTGCTCGGCGTCAACTCTTCGGAAGCGAACAGCTTCTATTTATTTCATGAATTACACAAAGATATATACAAATTGTGAAATGGATTTTGCAAATAAGGGGGAATGCACTGGAGGCAAGGGCCCCATCACCCTCCGACCCCGAGGAACCTCGGCTCTGCTCACCATGCTGATGAAGATGAATTCTTCTTCTTCTTTTTTCGCCGTTTCCAAGGTGAAAGTTTCGGCATTTTTAATTTGTTGCTTCTTAATCTCTTTCCCCCTGCCTTGCCTGAGCCACTTTCTCCCGGCCACCAGGAGACAGCAGGACCTTCAGCAACACGAGTTTAGTACAAACTACTCCAGCTTCCCCTATCAAGAGGCAGCTCACAGTCAAGCTAAACAAGACCTTGCACGCAACCTGGGTCTTTTAGACTCGGAACTCGAAGCCTCTGTAGAAGACGGAGGCGCAACTGTCTTTGCTGAGGACCATGGCGAGTCTGCAGCCTGGTATTCCGGCGTTCTAGAGAAACTTGAACGCATCACCAGACACGAAGACCCCGCACAAGAGTGGATGAACATACGGCTCGAACCTGCTTCTACAGAGGCCCCGACAACTACGTGGAGGGCTCAGCGTTCCCCCCGTTTCCGCCCGATGTTACAGGACGAACCTCTTGGCCTCCATTCTGCATTGCAAGTTTCAGCCAGAGAGGCGCTAGGAGGCCCCGAGTACTCAACACAGGCGACCGCATCGTCACACACCTCAGCGAAAGAGGCAGGTGACGAGACTCAAGCAGAAGCGGGGAAGATCAATAAACAGCCGGAAAATTCTCATGCAGGTTTCAACGGCGGACTGACAGCGAATCTGTTGGCCAAAGGCGTAGGAGATTTTCAGGTGATAGAAGATGAAAACTCACTTGACGCGGACTCCATTGTGACACTTTTATACAACTTTCCTCTGAAAACCATGGAAAGCAAGCAGATTGCCTTCGTTGTGGTGGCGCTTCCCCCCAAGTATGTTGCAAGGGAAGGCGACTCTATATGCGACTCGCTGGATCCTGAGCTGCCTCCTTTGAAGTGTTCTACACGAAAAGCGTACATGAAAAACAGACCAGGAAGTTTAAGTACATTCGTTACTATTTCCAGCGCAGATAACACCAGAAGTTTGCCTCTCGGCCGGCATTCGTTTCGCATAGCTGTGCATACACCCCAGGAGCCGCTTTCAATTGAGCAGCCGGCGAACTGGTGGTTTGCAACTTTCCGCTTCACTGGTGGCCATGCGATCACCAAACACTGGGAAAACAGAAAACTCATCAGCAAAAGAGGCTGCATCTGGGGGGAATGGCGGCAAGAAACTCCATGCAGTACAACTTGCGGCGGTGGCTTCGAAATATGGACCCGCAGCCTGTATGCAGGCGAAAGCGAGGAGATATGCGGCGGCGCTTTCATGAAAAGAAGATGCCAAGTTGAACAGTGCAACTTGAATTGCCAGTTGGGCGAGTGGGAGACGATGGCGGACTGTACAAAGAGCTGTCAGGCGACAGAAAGCGACGCGTTCAAAATACGGATCCGCAAGGTTTTGCTAGAACGTCAAGGTTTCGGTAGCTCGTGCGCAGAGATGCATCCATGGGACGCTGATCTGGGCGTGGGTTGGAGCGAGAAGATGCAAGCCGTCGTCAGTTTATCTCCTTGTGATGAAAAATTTCAGAAACCTTGTCCTGAGATGCTGGGCTGCCGCGTAGATGAAACCAACACCCGCACCCTCCCCGATGCTTTCCCCTGGGGTGCCTGCCCCTTCCCCTGTGGCGGCTTCGGCCGCATCACCTCCATAGTACAGGTGGCTAACGGTATCCCCCGCTGGATCGGCGAGCAGCAGTTTCCTCACAGCTTTCAGATTCCCTGTCGTGCAGATAAGGAGCCGCTTGTTTCCTCTCGACCCTGCAACACAGAGGCCTGTGAAGACTGTTCTGTCTATATAGAAAACCCCATCTTCGGCAGAGCAACACGAGCCTGGTTCTTCTTCTTGCCCACCACAGAAGCAGACAGTGTAGAGGTCACGGCTCCGCGGGGTGTACGCATAGTTCAGGCATCGCCGGCATCATCAAGCCGTCAGCTCCAGCAGCAGCAACAGCAGCAGCAGCAAGAGCAACAGCAACAGCAACAGCAGCAGCAGCAGCAGCGACAGCAGCGGCAGCAGCAGCAGTTTAAAGTATCACCTCTCTCTTCTGTGTTGCCAGCAGCACCTTCCAAGGCGCATCCTCTCCCTGCTGGTGCTTCTGTATCACCGGAGCAGCTGTTGTCTTTCAAAGAAAGGCTCGGTACCTGTACAGACACCGCAACATCCTTTGGCCCCGTCTCCTCCTGCAGCATCTATCCTTCTCGTCACTATGCTAACTCTGAGGCTGCGCTGCTGCGGCTCTCTGCTGTAATCGAGCCAGCAGAAGACGTGGAGAAGAAGCTTGCTGAGGCGCCTGTAGGCCCCCACACTCCCCCCCACACCACCACCACCACCAGCAGCACCAGCAGCAGCAGCAGCAGCAGCAGGAAGAGCAGCAGAAGGCCTCAGTGGTTTGCTTTGCCTGTGTTGCTGGGGTCAAGAGAAGAAATGGAGGATGCAGGAAACTTCTATCTGTGGCTGACCCGCAGCAAGTACCCCAACGACCCCGAAGTATTCAAGTGTCACCTGCGTACGCAGCTGTTTCTGCCGCAGCGATGTAAGTTTTCTTATAAACCCAAAAACCCTGATGAATGCATGCACTGTCTACCTGGGGCTGCAACACAGATAGAAACATACAGAGAATTCATACCCAGCCAGCATGGGGGCTCTTGTGATATCCCTCATGAGCTGCGGCAGCCGGGAGAGGTTCTTGTTAAGACGAGTTGTATCAAGAGCTGCAGCCAGCTGGGGCAGCAGCAACTTGCTGCTGCTGCTGCTGCTGCTGCTGCAGCAGAAGCAGGAAAAACAATTTCTGCAGCAGAACCTATGTTACACCCCAAAGCTAAACACCACTCCAACCTGCAACGAATCAGCAGAAAAGAACTTTTTGAATTTCTAAGCAAAAAAAGAAAAGCAAGAGGCAAAGCAGCAGCACCTGCTGCTGCTCTTGCTGCTCCTGCTGCTCCTCTTGCTGCTGAAGAAGGAGAGGTTCTCCTCCCCGTCGATGACAAGGCGATGCCTCTCATTGACAAAAGTCAGCTAGACCTGCAGCAGCAGCAACCGGAACAGCAGGAACAACAGCAGCAGCAGCCGCAACAGCAGCAGCAGCAGCCAGCTGAAGAGGGACAGGCAAAAGAAGGAGAAGCAGCAGCAGCAGCAACAACAGCAGAAACAAAAGCAGCACCATCCAAAGAAGCTGTGGAGAAAACAGCCACGCCAACAGCTGCAGCAGAACAACCAGCAGCAGCAGCAGCAGCAGCAGGGCCAACAGCAGCAGAAGAAGCGAAGCCAGCAGCCAAAGAGGCACCCACAGAGGCAGCTGAAAGCAAAGCAGCTCCCGCTGCTGCTGCAACAGAGTCAGCAGCAGAATCAGCTGCAGCAGCAGCAGAATCAGCAGCAGCAGCAGCAGAGCCAGCTGAAGCAGCAGCAAAATCAGCAGCAGAATCTGCAACAGAAACAGCAGCAGAATCAGCAGGAGAATCAGAACCAGCAGCAGAAACAGGTGAAACAACAACAGCAGCAACTACACCAAAACCCCCTGCTGCTGCTGCTGCTGCTGCTCCTGCTGCTACGGAAGGAGAAGAGGAGAGCGCAGCAGCAGCTGAAGAGAAGGAGCCGAAGGCAGCAGCAGAAGAGGCGCAGCCAGCAGCAGGTGCTTCTGCTGCTTCGAGGCAAGAAGAAGCAGCAGCAGAGAGCAGCGAGGAGACAGACAAAGAAAGTGCAACAGAAAAAGAACAAACGGAGACAGGCGAAAAAGAAGAGGAGACAGCAGAAACAGAAACAGCAGAAACAGAAAGCCCAGAAGAAGAAGAAAACGCCTCTGAGTGATCCTAAGTTGCTGCTGTACATGTACGTACACCTCAGCCTGCAGCAGCAGCAGCAGCAGCAGCAGCAGCAGCAGCAGCAAAAACAACAGCAGCAACAGCTGCTGTTGCAGCAGCAGCGGCAGCAGGAGAATCAACATCAGCGAAGGCAGTGAAAATTTCCCTTTTTTAGATTGCTGTTTGAAGCAGCAGCAGCAGCAGCAGCAGCAGCAGCAGCGGCAGCAGCGGCAGCAGCAGTGCAGCGCATCCCACCTTTATCTATCTTTATTTTTGTGTTTCTGCTGCTGTTTTCTTCTTTTCTCTTTTGTTTATTTCTCTTTCTTTTTTAGCGCTTAGGAGCTTTCGTTTGCTCCCCCTTATAAAGGGAGGCCAACATTTAAATACAAAAACAAAAATATTTTATTAGTTTTAGTTTATTGCTGAAATACAAAATTCGAGTTACTCAACTTGCTGCCACTGCTGCTGCTGCTGCTGCTGCTGCTGCTGCGGCTGCTGCCTCTGCTGCTGCTGCTATTGCTGCTGTTGTTGCTGCTGCTGTTGATGCTACTGTTGTTTTACCCCCGAGAGACGCGTATCTATTGCCCCTACTCCTCTTGCTGCAGCAGCAGCAGCAGCAGCAGCAGCTGCTGCTGCTGCTGCTGCTAATTGGGAGTTGAAAGAAGGTAAGCAGACAAAAGAAGACGAGAGAGAGCCACGCTCACCAGTAGCAGCAGCATAGCGGCAGCTAGAAACACCAGCAGCAGCAACAGCAGCAGCAGCAACAGCAGTAGCAGCAGCAGCAGCAGCAGCAGCAGCAGAAAGCTTCTATAGCCTAAATGTGTCTCAACAATTTTGTTGGGTTAAGATATCTTCTCCTCTCAGTTTTTTTTTATTTTTTTTTGTATTTTTTCTTGTATTTCTTTCTGTACTATAAGCCATCCAGCATCTGCTCTCACGAACTAACCCCAGCAGCAGCAGCAGCAGCAGCAGCAGCAGCAACAGCAGCAGCAGCAGCAAGAGGATAAAGACGAAAAGAGAGAAAGAGACAAGCGTTGTATGTCTCTGAATTTCTTCATTCAAAAGAGGGGCAGTCTCTCAACTGAGGCTGCGGTGTATATGCACCATATATATATAAATGAATGGTAACATATAAAAAGAAAAGAAAAGATAAATATAAGTTTTTATTATAATAGCTATGCACATATATAGATAGAGCCAGCCTGCTGCATAGATATAATAATGTATATACACTGCATAACATATCCTGTCTCCATATATATATATATATATATATATATATATATATATATATATATATATATATATATATATATATATATATAGAACAAGGAAGAACCCAATCCACTGCGTTTGCTGCTGCAAATGTTAGGGTTTAGGGTTTAGGGTTTAGGGTTTGTGTTTCTATGAGCAACACGCAATACGATACACAAACCCCCCCAGTATATTAAACACGCCTAGGTGCTGTGCGTTGCGTGCTGCTGCTCCCCCGATAAGCCAACAGAACAGAAACTGTGCCTCTGCTGCTGCTGCTGCTGTTGCTGCTGTAGCTGCTG